TCATCGGTCTCCCCTATGAAGCGGTACCTCCGGAACCCGAGGGTGTATAAATCCTCCTCGAGGGTGCAGTCTTTGATCGCCACGTTCTTGTTTTTCCCCTCCGGGAACTTGGCCAGCTTTAGGTCGTCTTTCTCGAGAGCGGCACTCCTGATCTTGTCGTGCCTTCGGAATCGGTCACGTAGCTCCCTCGGGAATGGGCTCTCATCCAACTTCACGTAGCACCAACGTTCCCTCCATCCTTTGTTGGAAGAAGGAGCATCGGAGAATAGTTTGAAGCGGGCAATCTGCTGCAGGTTGGCGTACCCCTCGCCGTTTTCGTGCCCCCCCCCCCCGGCACAGATTAAAGCTCTGGAAGAATAGATCCAGGCTGGGTTTCACCCCTCGGGACTTGCAGAGCTGGAGGAACCCCGCAATGTAGGAGTGGCTGTTGGGCGTGAGTTGGCAGGGGACCAAGCCAACAAACCGCAAATATTCCCGGAGGAATGGGTGCAGAGGGAACCTGAGTCCCATGGAAACCGAAAGGACGTGAATAGCAATACACCCCTCGGGCGCCCTGGACAACACGTCGTCGGGACCTGGCTCCACCACTTCGGCCGAGGGCCCCACGTGCAGCTGAGTCACGTACAGATCTGCCCTGTCGGCCTTCGACCTGATCTCGAGGGCCTCAGTGTTCAGCCAACTGTACCCCTCGGGCATGTCTACGGGCTTTCCTTGATCGACGGCCCTCTCCTTCTTCTTGGTAGCGGCCTTCTTCTTCTTCACACCGGAAACCGCCCTCAGAGGTATCGGATCCAACGGCCTCGAGCTACTGGCCTCCCCGGAACCCCGAGGGGGGAGAACAGCAATCGTAACCTTCGAGCTCTCATTCTGTGCCTCATCCTCCGCTGTCTGCCAGGCGAGGGCTAAGTCTTCATCATCTCACTCCTGCTCGAAGCCCTCGGCTTCAACCTCCGCAGTGAGTTCCTTCTGGACCTCCTGGGCCAGGGCTGCATCACCACAATCCGAGGGCTGACCACTGCTTGACTCCACATCGGAGATGCCTTCGTCCTCCATCGAGGGCGTCCTCGAGATGTCCTGAGAGTCACTCTGGGACGACATTCGCACCCTTGTTCGAGGGCTCGTAGACGGTAGTGTTTCCTAACTTTTCTATCTCCTAAACTAAGGGCACAGTACAGCTATGCTAGAAGGAGAAAGGCAGGGAGCACTGACCTCGAAAGCTGAGTTTTGACCGAAGGCTGAACTTTCTCTCTCTAGAAAAATTGACAGAGCTTCGCTAACAAGTTTATCGCACACGGAGGAATGCCTGACCTTGGGGTATTTATAGGCGATGAATCCGGGCTTGGGCCTGGATTCCGGGCCTCCGGGTGGACGCCATCATTACACACCGCCGTTTCACCCAACCGGTGACGCCGCCCACGAACAACCAGCCATCACACGCCACGTGTGCCACCCCCCCCCCCCCCAACGGCTATATCCTGTCGTTACATATTCCAACGGCTATATTTTCAACGGCTATATTTTGGGAACCCCCGGGTTTTCTACTTCACTCCACTTCATCAAGGATAGCCTCCGGGTGCACTCACCCAGAAGTGCCCCCGGGTTGTGCCCCACACCGCACATTACACACGCCTTCGGGATCACTCCTTCAGATCCCTAGGGCTGCATATCAGGGTACCCCTCGGGGTTTTCCCCTCAGCACCGCAAAACCGGGTAGCCCCCAGGGATTGCCTCATTGACGGATGGCCCATGGCCCTCGGGTATCTTCATCACCACTTCATCAACAAACAGTGGACCCCCCGGTAACAGCTTCACTGCTGCCCTCATCTGGCAGGCCCTCGATCCCTGGATTGAGGGGCTCCCCTTCGGCGCCACCAGGACATCAACAGCCAGCCTTCGGCTAATCAACACAGGAGCCCTCAGAAGAGAGAGCCTTCGGCATTCCCGCCATTCTCCATTTTTTACCAAGGTTTGACATTTTCGATTCATCATTGGGGGAATTCGGTGCACTCTTTTTCCCTCATTAGGATTTTTTCCCAAAGGGTTTTTCCTAATGAGGTTTTTAACGAGGCATCCCCCCAAAATGAAACGAAAAGCGTCAGCCTTCGGCCCACAACAGCAACGTAACTACTTTACTCCTTTTCACCACTTTACAAGTGCCTCAAGGAGTGGGGGACTGGAGGACCCCTTCGGGAAAATCATTAAATTACAAAATCTGTGAAATTCCAACAAACGACAAAGCAAGCCCTCAAGTCCCGACATGTGGGTAACTGAGGGACTGCCTTCGGCAGGGACATAAAAGCAACAATTCCTCACCAACTTCAGAGATCACGACGGGACAACATCAAAGGGCAAGCACAAATTACTCCTCTTCCCTCAAGTACCTTTCGGCAAAAGGAGTGAGGGACTCCTGATGGAGTATATGGCCCGGGAACCCCCGGCCCACAGACTCCTACTACTCCAGCAAAGGCCCAACAGGCCCAACAGGCCCAATTCACAGCGCCCAGAGTACCAAGCAGTCCGCACAACGCACAGGGGTGCCTTCGAACCCCTGGCCGAAGGCTCCAAATTGTCACAGAGCGGGTTTCTCAAGCAAATTAGGAAACTGGGAGAAAACGGCGAAAACAGCAGCCCTCGGCACTATGAGCCCTCGGCACCAGGGTGCCATCGGGCGGGAGAGCCCTCGGTTACTGCTCTATAGCCGAAGGCATCTCACTCGACAAGATATCTGCCTCACATGCGTACAGATCACCGTACCCCGCACAGACGTCCCGTCCAACAGCCGCATTAAATGCGGCCACATGCGGCTGCCAGCGCCAACCAGTTGAGGTGACCCCTCGGCCAATGAGCGCTTGACACGTGTCCCTGCCCGGCATTTATTGCTACTATAAATAGCACCCCATTTCCCCATTTGTAACCACGCTGAATACATATCAAATATACACTCTCTCTCTTACTTGTTTGCTCTGACTTCTCTCTAAGTCATTCCCCGTAATAACCCTTCGGATATATACCCCCGGGTAGACTATCCATCACTAACATTTTATTGTGATAACGAAACAACATTTCTGAATTATCAATATTCAATAATGGTAAAAACAAATGTTATACACGCCCTATCAACTGTTGCGGTTGAACAAAAATTTAGTGGTGTCGGCAATATTCTCACTAACTATAGGACTCAACCGAGTGAAAGAAACATTCGTTTATTTCCATGATTGGTTAAAAACAAGAAGAAATCATACACAAGAATGAAATATTGCATCGATAAAGCATTTCATGAAAGAAATTAAACCCATGTATACATTTTTAATGAGGCGTTACCAAATCAACACCAACACTGCCACATAATTCAAGCTAATCAAGGCAAATTATGTCATACAACTAGTTGTACCTTCAAGATGGTACAACCTGGTATTTTTGAAGTTACTCTGAATTTTGAATCTTCTTTTCCCCTCCTATTCTGATTCCAGATTCATTGCATGTTGAATCTTTTGCTATCGGCATCATCGCTTGATCTTCACCATTCACTCATCGCTCCGAGCTTCACCATCACCATCATCGCGAAGAGCAGAGTTCCTCCATTGATGCAGTCTGACCAAGAGCAGATTCCCTCTTGCTACAATCTGATTCTTTCGAGGCTCACCAGATTGCCCAATCGCCGATGCTCTGTTTCGTTGTTGGTCCGTCATCGTTCCTTCATCTTAGGTGCTGCAGAGACTCTCGATGACAACATTGATTCTTCGTTTAGACTAGATTCCGGTGATATTGTCCTGACGGATCGGTCCAACCCTTGCAGAATCGCTCTCGCAAACCAAATGAATATAACACTTAAAGTATATGAGCATAAACAAATGAGGATTTGCCACATTAGCAATTTCAAATGACATTTTTAGTTTTTCAATACTCATTTTGTAAGTTATGAATGCTTGTATAGTATTGATATTATACTAATTTTAAAATGTCATTTCAATTCATATTTCAAAAGTATCATATTACATTATATTCACATATTAGAATTCATAGTAGTTAATTATAGATATAATTTAATCAATTTTACAAAAGAGAAAAAAAAAAGAAAACACAAGAAAATGAATTAAAAGACATGGGAGCAGTTATAACGATACTCAATTGCAGGTTTCTAATACTCAATAGGTAAAGTCTAATGCTCAATGAAAATGTGCTGATAATTAACTAACAAAACTTACGGATTTTCATATCAATGCATATTTTAAAAGTATACTACTCCCTCCGTCCCGCTAACAATGGGACAAGAGGGAGTGACACACAAATTAATAAAAAATGATTTATATGGTTGATATTTAATTGATAAAGTAAGAATAAAGTAAGAATGATTTAGAGCTACACAAACTTTACCAAATTTGGTATGGGGCAATCTTAGTCGGACGAACCGATAAGGTAAAATGGAACAATCATAGCGGAACGAAAGTAGTATTAAATTAGATTCTCGTCTTGAAATTTATAAGAGTTGATTATAGATATAATTTAAGACATTTCTATAAAAGATAAAATAAGAAAAAGAAATTAAATTATAAGATATAAAAAAGAGATCACGATGTTCATTATTGAGCCCCTGATATTCAACAGAAATACAGAATAAGTTTGATGCTCACTAAAAGTGCATTAATACTCATTTGACATAAGCCGAGATTTCCACTTAAATTAAGAGGGTGTTTGGATATGATTCTTCAAACTAATTCTACTCCTTCAGGGAGCAAAAGCATAAGTTGTGATGAAAGTGCAGAATACTTATGATGCTCTAATTTACTTCTAGAATCAGTTTTTTAGAAGCTAGGGGAGACCAGCATTTGAAAACTGATTCTGAATCTGCTTCTGTTTAAAAAAAGAAGCAAAAGCAGAATCGGTTCCAAACACTCCTAAGATGTCACCAACTATATGGTGCAATGCATACAACCGGTTGTAGGATATATAGACTCAGTTAATTAATTAATTAATTAATTAATATCATAATAATGGCATAAAGAATGGTCCTTGATCGTACCAAATTATATAGCAGATTCCCTATAGCAGATATCCGACTAATTTAAACACAATTAGAGTAGAGGGATTAAATACTGCGCTGAAAAAAATATTAATGCTTGTAATTCAACCAAACAAATCACTAGGCCATCAAACACTGAACAACCGTTTGCATGTCCAGTTTTATAACACATGCAAAACATTGAAGGAGTAGTCTTCAAGTACTACCAGCACAATTAAGCAATAAATTTGCAGTGTTACTGAGTTGCCTCTGACTCCAAGCAGTAGGGTGACCCTCCTGGCAAAAGCATGATAACAATTCGCCCTAAGTAAGACAACCTCTTCACCTCCAGCCATGTTTGGGGGTCAACCCCCCTCTCTAAGATGAAATCACGCCATGCTATCCGGGTGGGTCAATACATTGAAACGTCACCCTAATGCTACAGAACAAGCGTCAACCAAACCATTCTCCATCCAGGTACTTCTGGTTTAATAAATGATTCATTAACCATCAATTAGAGAGTAGAGAGTTCCACAGGACGAATTAGCATCTTTAAACAGCCCAGAATGGTTTTGGACCCTCTGGTACAATTGATTTCCCCTGCAACCTCTCCCCAGCAACACCATCAATGTCATCATCTTCATCATCATCCCCATATTCCATTAGCTTCACTAGAGTATCTATTTTGCATGAAATCATTGAAACAAGCCAACATTTTCAATTAATTCATCTTCACTAAAATTTGAATGAAGTGTTTCAAATACTAGTTAATCATTATAATTCTTTATGTTCTGCAACCAAGACTCTCTCAGGTAATGTTGTTGTTGTTGTTGTTGTATGTTCTGCAACTAAGACTGCTGCAGAACGACATTGAAACATAGAAGCCTGTATTAACTTGAGGGGGGAGAAGGGACAGGGACGGTGCAGATTTAAATCCCTATACATGATTGCATGCCCAACCCACCACTCAAGTCTGATAGTCAAGCATGCTACTCGCAAAGCCAGCAAATCTGCTTCCTGTTTGGGAGGAAGCTAACTTACTTTTTAAGCAAATATTGCTTAAACCTCACAAGTTTTCAGAATAAAGATAACAAATGATAAGTCAATGTCCTTTTTTTCTTTTTCTTTTTTGATGAACTCAATGTCCTAATCACTTATTTAAGCTCATACACCAGACTACCAGAGACAGTTCTCTGAATTTTAAAAAATAAAAGAAGTGGTGTCCTGCCCTTGCACTCCCTTCCCACAAAAAGCCTAAAGCTGAAGAGATTCGTTCGTGAATGTACCAGGAATATTTTCTGAGGATGGTTTATGAGGCATATTGCTTATCCCATGCACTTTAGGGGTTGGTGAATTAAACTTCGGTAATGGTGGAGGAGCCATTGGCATCATCTTGGGAGGAGGAGGTGGCGGTGGCATTAAATTAGAAGGTGGTTGGCACACCTTTGTGCCAGGAATAGTAGTATTATCTCTAACACCAGCATCTGCAGTTAAATCCTGAGCCTTTGGAGCCAGCACTTCCTGCAGTTGATTTTACAAGAAAATCCAATACAGAATCCTAAGTAATTAAAGAAAAATCACATCTAATGTGCAAGACATATATAACAATCAGTTAACTCTCAAACATTATCAGAAGTTCCTACTCCCAGGCAGTAGATTGATTACCACAATCATGGAGTGCCAACAAGTTTGAAGAGATGTATAAAGAGATTTGAATCACATGATACAATGCTTAAATCAGCATGCTAAAAGATGGAAGATAGATATCTCATAATTAGGGACGAAATTCATATATGAGCATATCGTAATGAACAGAGCCCTGTGTACAGTGTAATGCTCAACCTAATGACTGCAACACAGTTGACTACAAATGCCCATGAAGATGAAAGGTGTTGAATTTTGACCGTTGTTTTTAATAGATATATCTTAGTTAAAATATATAGATTTTGTTTCCATGTTATAAATCAAATGTGGCTATCTGTGTAGAATGGAGGTAGCACAAGATAGGGAATAAGCGTTCTCTTTTTAAGGAATAGGAAAGAAGTATGGAACTTCTTGTACAACCTGTGTACCCACAATGTAAGATGCATTTTCCTTTGACAAATATGTTAAGACCAGATAATAATTATGCATGTCTAATCAAATGGGACGAAGGGAGTAATTTTTTTCGTATTATGCATGGAAAAGAGTAGGAAAAACTTCAGTGATTAAAATTCAATTATCTAATATAAAAAAACTTTTCTGGGTTAATGAAGATTAAAAAAAGAGAAATATGTAACTTCTTTGCTATTTTAAGCAGCTGCTAATGGGCCATAAGGCCTGTTCATCAACAGAGCATGGTTAGTTTAAATTTTGCTCTAGCACCACCAAGAGTATTGAGATAACATGCAGCAATTCCATGCAGCTCCCAGATCATAAAACCCTGTGAAACATACAAATGCCCAATAGGGTCCAGAATCGCCATGTTAGCTTCTTAGAAGGTGAGAGAAAATACCTGGAATATCAAGTAGTAAAGGTCAGTATAAAAATGACATTGCACTCAAATGGAAAAAGATGCAAGAGTTTTTCAATGATAAATCACAAAGCATAAGTTGAATTTAATATCTTCAGTAAACTTAGTTTCGAAACAAAGAATGAAAATTTGCATTGACGAGATCTAATAAGAAGAATATGTCGACAGTTCAAAACAAAAAGCACATTTATGAAATTGGTGCATTGTTCAACACTATCTTTTATTTAAATCAAATTGACACAAACTAAGGGATAATAGGCCATTGGCTTCACGCCAGCAGGGAGAGACAAGGAGAACAGATTCTAATACCTGATGAAGATTTGATGTGACCATTATATTAGTTGGTAACTCTCTAAATTTGCGTTTATGTGGGGGGCGTTCCTTCTGAATAAAGGATGTCGTAGTAGTCAGAGGTCTGGTGCTAGTTGTTGTTGATTCTGGGGAGCTTGCAGCTGTTTTAGAGATCGACTGCCTAAGGGCTAAGGCAACTTGTTGTAAAGGTGTGACTTGGGGATAAATCCCACCGTAACCCATATAGCTCGTCCCTCTCAAGATTGGCGTATGGGGGTAGTAATTTGTGTTTGATTGAGATGGCAGCATATTGAATGAGCTTAAAGACTGGGATACAATTCCTTGAGAAACATTAATGTCCATACCAGGAGCCACAGAAGGAACAGCTGGTACAGGCACACCCAGAGTTGCAGACCTTAAATTAGCATCTTGAGAATTATTTACGGTCAACTCATCTCCCAAACTATTACTTCCAGCTAGTAGCTGCGGTGGGGGAGGAACAGCTCCATACACTTTACAAGAAGACACCCTATGTTGTAAGAAAATTGAAGATCCAATGAATGGCAGTATCAAGGATTGACGATAAATGACAAATGAACATTTATGATCACATTTTAACCAGTGAGACAAATGAAATGTAATACCTAGAAGCACCAAATTCTGCAGATATAGTATCCAGCAAATTTTCTGCCAAAAGTTTTGCATGCTCAAGACTTTTTGAATTATTGCTCGATAGGAACAAATGCAGTGGTTGATGTCCATCTGAAAGTAAATCCGTATGTAGAAATCAGCTAATCACAAAATATGTCCATAATAGTACCTACGACTAATATATTAATGTGATACAGCATAAAAATCACCTTCACCATGTACGGTTCCAGAACTCTCTGAACCTTGCCCTCTTAACACAACAGTTGCTCCTGTTTCATTCATAATGTGATTTATATACTGGTCCTGCATTTACAAAAGGAAACCACCAGCAACAAAAAGAATCTCTCCCAATGGACGGAGAAGTCAGAGAAAGGCTAAGGACGTTAGAATCTCTCCCAATGATCACATTCGTCTTTCTTGTATTGAGCGAAATAAAAACACCAATGAAACTCATCAAGGAAATGGATATGAGATGAATGCTTCGACATGAAAATGAGATTACAAAAAAAGACTTGGGATATTGCTACTGCACCTTCACAGTGATAAATTCAATAAATAAAAGGCAAACATAGACTTCAATGACCACTACTATAGATGTGTTCTTTCCCACATTATATTTCACCACCCTGACCAACAGCCAATGAGAAGAAATGAAAGTATGCATATACGCAATCATGTAGGGATAAGGCTCACATTTGGTCCTCGAATACGAGCAGAAATGTTCAAGGATGCATCAACCTCAAAGCCCACATAGACACAGGTACTCATGGAGGGATTAGCCTGATAGCAATTTCACAATATACTAAATTAATCATTGCAATTACCCTATTGTTTGTCACTTTCATTGACTTTAAGGGAATAAAACCTTCAACCCATTGTTTGATGAACCCTCTTTCAATATTTCCTCCACAAGTGACGCTGCATGGTCAACTGCTTTGATTCTCTCCACTGTTGTTTCTAACTAATCAATCATATAACATTGCATACACATCAGAATCAGTTTCTGATAAGTAGATCGTGCGATAATAATTCAAACCATTTTACATTGTTTATCAAACATACAAATAAAGAAAGCGAAAGACAGCCCTTCTTAGAAACTAAGAGAACAATGAAAAGGAAATACACTTAATAGGATGTTTGAACTCAGAAAGTATTAGGCGGTATTTCATGAATAGAATCGCAAATATATTTACAGAAGGCAAGCCATTTACATGTGCTCCAGCAGAAATATGAAGATATAGTGGTTTTGCACCATCAGGGGGTGCACTAGGAATCATGTACTTGCCCCTGCAAAGAACATTTAGCATGTGTATTACATGATGACGAAGAGAAGCACTTAAAAATGAGCCCCATAATATTTTCATGAGGCACACACCTAGTTATTACCACTGCACCTGTACTCTTCTGAATCTGGGAAAACAGCAAATTGATTTAGCATCAAATAATAGTGCATGCATAGTCCAAGTATAATACTAAGCCTATGTCTAGAAACTCCTAAAATCCATGATCATTATCAATCTCGAATTACTGGAAGAGCACCTCTTCTTGGGTTTGGCGTTTTGTGAGTTTGTATCGAACAGCAGAGTCAGCATCATTTATGACAATCTCTCTTGCAATCACCTCATCCTGGATCTTTGTCTGCCATCGTTGAATAACGCATGGACAAAATGTCATCAAATGGAAAGACAGCGCATATATTTGGGAAGACATAATAACAACAAAAAATGTAAGCCAGAAGTGTCACATGGTACTGATCATTGATTTGTGAATTGTGAGGGTAATACAGTATAATCATGCGCAACAACAACATCCAAGCCTTAATCCCAAAAGATTTTGGGACCGGCTAGCATGAATTGATCCATGATATAGGAGCCACAAAGGAAAGAAAGATAAGGAAAATAAAAAGATAAGGTAAGATAAAAATGATAAGATAAAGATAAATACTAGTATAAGATAAAAGAACATGAGAAAGATAAAAGATAAAAATAACATAAGAACATAAGAAAGATAAACCATAAAAATAACATAAGAACATGCGAAAGATAAAGAAGATAAAAGGATAAAAGAAAACGAGAGAGAGAAAAGAAATCAATCCTCCACACGAATGTTCGCCCTCACCTTTGCTTCCTCCAAAACCATACTCTCATCCAACCCAAAAAAAACATATCGGAAGAAACATACAGTATAATAAAGCATAACATAAAAATAAGTTTGCAACTGTACAAATCTTTAACATACTCCCTCCCGTTCTTAATTAAGTTTACACTTTGACTTCACACATATTAAGGAAATAAATTTACTGAGAGGTAAACTTTATTGTATAGTACACTGTTTTGGCACTGTTTAGCACTGTTTGGCACTGTTTTGGCACTGTTTTGCACTGTAGATTTGCTTGCCAAATAAGGCAAATAAGGAAGTGTAAAGTTTAATATGGGACAGCCCAAAAAGGAAAGTGTAAAGTTAATTAAGAACTGGAGGGAGTAAAAAGTAGCTCCCGAAGTGGATTGAAAGTATCAGAGGTGGCTCCTACTTTCTGTTATTGTTATATGTAGTATTATGCATCTGTGTATCATGCGTTGATAAAAGAAAAGATAGATTTCGAGGAAATTCGAGGGAATAACTGGTTATCACCAAGTGAAATTAAATGATTTATTTTTTTTAGCAAGAGCTACCGTGTGTTGCTGCACTCCAGATGCACCATTGGCTGTGAGGGAAGTGGCTAAAAGAGTGCCACATGTCGTGCCTATGCTGGGTAGTGCAATACCAACCAAAGATCCAATGTTTGTGAAAGGAAGAATAGGAGGCTGGCATACTCCAGCTGAAACCAATGACTCTTCAGGCTGATCCCACTTCCTTTTTTTCCTGCGTGAAATCTTCAAAGTTAATTGTCCAATTCAAATGTGTCATGTGCTCTTGTTGAAATTCATAAATGAACAAGGCATTCTTACTTTTTTGCTACTTGCTTCCACTTCCACATTGTTTTGAAAACCCAGAAGCTATTACTGTTCTACCAATACTAATAGTCTAATACTGATTCAAATTAAATGAAAGAGCACATGGAATCGGTATATTTTATTCAGCTTCGTAATTTGGAGTTAATACATTGGAAAAATTAAAAATAATAATAACAATGATAAATTAACAGTAGAGCAATATGCGTTAATAAGGAGTAATGAAGACTTAGACTTAGACTTAGACTATTATCAATTTTGGAGAGTTAGGTTTCCTTCTAAAGCGAGTAAACAAATTTTGTTGCAAATCAAGCAGCTATAAAGCTGAAAATTGTAGATCTTTTGAAGGATTGTGCGCACCTCTGTTTGGAAATTGAAGGATCAGTTGACGAAGCCGATTCAGAGGAAGAACCCCTGGGGAAGCTATCCTCCGTCATTTGTGCCAGTTGACTGATGATAAATTTCTAACGTTCCACCTAAAAATTAATGGCGTGCGATGTGTGCCGCTGGCGAACGAGCGGATATACCCGGTGGTTGTCGTCGTTAACGATAAAGAGGATACGGGTAGCCAAATAAATACTCCGTATTTGTTTTTATATACGTCAAATATGGCACAAATATGTATCTATTGTTTTCTTTTTTAATCCATATTTAAGGCAATTTATATCCTGGGATTGGCGTCCAATCCGACACAGCATTCATTATTTTTTATTTCTTTTATTGTTAAAAATTGTATTAAATTTTTTATTTGATATCTGATTTTTAAAAATTTTATATCAAATTTTTTTATTTCTCATGATCTATCAAATGAGGTCAATATTGCTTATGTAATTTTAACAAATTATTTTGAAATTACATTTGATAATATATCATGAAGTTACATATTCTTCTGCGCGAGTTACATCTTATTGTACGCGAGTTACATCTTAATATACGTGAGTTACATCTTAATGTATGTGAGTTACACCATGAAATAAACCTCTGCTACATCTTTCATTTTTATCATTTGAAAAATAATGTATGAATATGAAATACAATATACTTATTTTATGTGGATTAATAAAATTTTGTATTAAATTGGCAAAGAAAAAAATTAATTCAGTTATAATTGAATTAGTTCAAGATAAAGATAAGTAAAAAATCACAAATAATTAGATATAACTCACACATAATTACATGTAACTTGCGCATAAAAGTATGTAACTCGTGTATAACAAGATGTAACTCACACAAAACAAGATGTAACTCGCACATAATTACATGTAACTCGCGCATAAAAGTATGTAACTCGTGTATAGCAAGATGTAACTCACATATAATAACTTGTAACTGGAGTATAAGATGATGTAACTTCGTATATTATCAAATGTAACTCCAAGCTAGAAGCAAAATAAACAAACTCAATATCTTAAAAACCTCTAAAAACATATAAAAGTAATAAAAAAAATATATTATAGAAAAAGTGTATGCATATAAAAATATATTACAAAAAAATGTATGAATGTAAAAAATTAAAATTACATAGACAATATTGATCTCGTTTGAAAGATCATGAAAAATAAAAAAATTGATATAAATTTTATAAAAATCGGATCAAAAATAAAAAAAAATTATTAACAATTTTAAGAAAAGGAGAAATAAAAAATAACAAAGGATGCATGGTGCTCACCATGAAGCGGTTCCAATGTTTAAGGTCATATGTAAGGGTGACTCCAATTTGGATTAGATGATTTTAATTGAGTTTATAATAATTCACTAGAACTCATGTGCCCCCCATTTGAATTTATGTGGTATCCATAAAAATAAGAATGTTTTCAAACATTTCATAAATTTCTATTGTTACTTATTTGAATGGATTTTGGTGGATTTTTAAATACAAAAACATTCAACCACAAATCTTGTAGAATCCCTCGGATTTTGAAATTTATGATCTTTTAAAATCAATCCAAGCCCTAAGAGTTTTTTTTTTCAAAATAATGATTAAGTAAAAAATTATTTAGGAGTTATAATCAAGTTAAAAGTATTTATCAAAATACTACTAGAATAAATCCTGGTTAATCATAATCACCAACTCAATGGTGACTTCCTCTTAAAATTGGAAAGCATGAATTGTGCTAGCAAGTAGAGTGCTAATCAAGCAAGCCTACTTTGTGGTTACTCGAGATTCACTCAATTCTTACTCAAACATAGCTCGACTCGATTCAAATTCGGCTTGTACTCAATTTGAACCAAATCAAATTAGCTCAAGGTATATACATTCTTGACTAGAAAAGCTCGCAAGCTATTTGATTATGAGTTAGTGTTGATTATTATAGATTCATACATATGATATCACATCATATATTCATAGTATCGATCGAACCATGCATAAAAATTATAATTATCATATTGCACATATTGCATAGTTATAGAAAATATTCTAAGAGTGTTATGCGAATTATAGGCATTCTCAAGTAACGCTTAAACAGAATTAAGGATTAATTGAACTTAGTTCATCAAATTATTTTAGGTTTTGATAAATTATACTCCCTCCGTCCCGTTGGAATGTTCCCGCTTTCCTTTTTTGGATGTCTCGTTGGAAAGTTCTCATTTTCCTAAATGGAAAGTTATCCTACATCAAAACAGGGTCAAACAGTGCAAAACAATGTCAAACAGTGTCGAAATAGTGTCAAAATAGTAAAATTTACCCCCTGGTAAATTTATTTCCTTAATATGTGTGTAGGTCAAACCGGGAACATTCCAACGGGACGGAGGGAGTAGATGACAAAAAGAGTCATAATATCTAAGAGACAACTAGGCGGAAAATTTTATAACAATATTTTTATGTTTAAAAAATTATTGATGATTGCATATGCGTGTTTAAATGTATAACATCAAACTTTTTGTTTAAAAATGTACTACATCTGTCCCAAATTGATTTGCAATGTCAGTTTTTACTCACCATATGTAGTATGTTCATAATTTTCTAAAGCGGTTTCACCATTGCTCTTAAACCTTTATGCATGCCCTTACCCTCGAGAACCACTTTTTTCTTACACATGGTGAGTTATTTGTTGACCAGAGCTAAGTATCATAATATGGTGTGTGAATTACATTATTTGGTTGCGATAAGATCTAATATCATTCACATTGTGTATTTGATTTCTCAAATCATTAATGTTCCAAATGCTTCACATACTTTGGATGTCTAACCTCTGGTGGTAATTAAAACGGAGTGTCTTGACAATAGTTGGTCCACCTCTTGATATGTTATTATCCTGGTCGGGATATTATATTTGATTCTTCAAGAAGCAACACACGTTTTCTAAATCTTACAACGAACCTGAGTATCAAGCCATTGTGTATGCTATTCAAGATATTAAGGACAAACACTCTATCATCTTCAAGCTATGTCTCCTTTCAAATTTCTTTGTGACAATGTCCAAGCCATATACCTCTATTAATCCTATGCAATAGCCAACATGTTCGCAGTAAAACACAAATAATTTATTGTCATTTTATTTATGAACGAGTAACACATGGTGATTTAATTGTTCATTAAGCTTGTAAACAATTGGATATGATGAGTATTTACTAAATTCTTATCCTTTTAATATTTCAATTAAAAAAACATTCACACATATTTTCTCTTGCACAGATTGAGAGTGTAATAGGAAAATACAATGAGTTATTATGTAACTCCATAAACTCTCTTTTATTATAAATATGAATTCTGTAATGATAATTATACTTGTATATTAATAGTGTGAAACTATACTTTTAAATGCGTTATAATTTAAATCCAGATACATGAATTGTATCGAGGTAGATTCAATTAAGATGAAAAGTACATTGTTGGTTATAGCATACACATCAAAAAATAGTGTAAAAGTATTTGTTTGTGATGTGGGTTAGTTATCGCATCATACATACTCAACAATTAAATGACGGTCACTCATTTAAATGACACATGTAAACAAATAAGAAGCATTCTTATTAGAAGAATTATTTACTACAAGTGGAAATGAAAATTATTTTTAAAATACCTATTTACGTATTTAACACTTCTATTATTATTGAAATTGAATGAACCAATTTTCATATTAAAAAACAAAGACTCCTATTTTATACAAAATATTAAGTCATGTTTCACTAACTTGCATTGTAGTGTGAAACAAACGATAATGCATAAGTTTTTCATAATTCATTTTCCACAATTATATTTACAGTATATATACTTATTGCACGTATTTTTTGAACATTAATACAATGGGTATAATTTGGTTAGATGGCCCGACACAATTGCTTGTTTATCATATTTCTCATATTCAATCCTTCTTGAGATAAAAATAAACGTGTCACCGCTCACCAACCTTTACACCATTGTTCATAGTGGTAACATATTTTGACTAAAATAATCGTGCGCTCATTTGTTCATACAAACAATTGAACAAAGATACAATTTGTTAAGGTATATATAGTTTGCCTTTTTCATTTAAATGAGGGAGGATGAACAAATATACATTGAACATAACGTCTCAAAGTAAAAAAAAAAACACTTCAACTTTTTTCTTGAGCAATTAAACTCAAGCCGTAAATATAGGATAAATACGGGGGCGAATATATGTCATCTCCCCAATGGGGGCATATGCCCCCAATAAATTTTCAAAGTTTTAATACGTATATAGAAGTTTTTTTATGGAAAATATGTTGCTACCAATAAAAAAAATTATGTTGGTTATAGAATCCACATCAAATTTATATTGCAAGATGAATCATATGAGAGCTTGTAGGTGTTTCATTTGTTTAAAGGGAAAAATAATATAAATACTCCAAACTTTTAGGGGTGTGAGATAAATACCCAAACTTGCATATGTAATATATATAGAAAAAATTCTACTTTTGGTCTCATGACTATTATACCACTTCCACATTTAGTCCCTTACTTTCAGATTGTCCACATTTAGTCCGTGACCATTATCCCCTACCACCCCTCGTCCTTCTGGCCAAAATTCCGGCAAATTTAGTTCACTTATCAGCCTCAGAATCAGTCTTTGCATTAAATTTTATATAAGGTTGGGTTTTTCATATCAATCTTTGCATTAAATTTGATTATTCATTCTTAAAATCTGCATTAAATTTGTCGGAATTTTGGCCGGAAGGACGAGGGGTGGTGAGGGGATAATGGTGACGGACTAAATGTGGACAAACCGGAAATAAGGGACTAAATGTGGAAATGGTATAATAGTCACAGGACGAAAAGTGGAATTTTTTCATATATAAATATAGACGAAAGTTCATGTCCGGCCAGGCCGGACAGGACCTCCGTCCGGACACCTCAATTTGAGGTGGTTCCCGTTGTATTTTTGGCTGAAATGTGTGTATGTTCTTCATCAAGTCTAGTTCATCCATACCAAATTTGAGAAAAAATTCAATCGGGAAGGTCGTCAAATGATTTTTGCATGATAACTGCGCTTTATATGTATATTCCAGACTAGTTATCATGCAAAAATCATTTGACGACCTTCCCGATTGAATTTTTTCCTGAAATTTGTATGAATGAATTAGACTTGTGAGAAACATTCACAAAACATTTCAGTCAAAAATACCACCGGAAACCACCTCAAATCAAGGTGGTCAGATGAGGGTCCTGTCCGGCCTGGCCGGACAGGAAGAGCACTGTATATATATATATATATATGTATATATATATATATATATATATAGAGAGAGAGAGAGAGAGAGATTCTCCTGTCCAGCAGCCTTCCGTCCGAACGCCGTCCGAACACCGTCGTTTAGGGCGGTTCCCGGTGGAATTTTTGTTGAATTTTTTTGAGCATGTTCATCATCAAGTCTAGTTTATCCATACCAAATTTCAGCTTAAAAATCGATTGGGAAGGCAGTCAAATAATTTGTTGAAGTTAACTGCGCAAAATTGTACACAGAAAAAAGCGGTCAACTTCAAAAAATGATTTGAATGCCTTCCCGAACGAATTTTGAGCTGATATTTTTTGTGGATAAACTAGACTTGATGAACAACGTACCATAAAAATTTCATCAAAAATTTCGACCGGGAACCGCCCCAAACGACGGTGTTCGGACGGCGTTCGGACCGGGGGCTGCTGCACCTGAGAATTTCTCTCTCTCTCTCTGTATATATATATATATATATATATATATATATATATATATATATATATATATATATATATATATATATATATATATATATATATATGGGATGGTTCAAATAAAAAGAGGTCTTAACGTCCAAAGTGCAAAGTTTGCACTTTTTCATGTTTCGCTTGCACTTTTTCTTGCTTTCGTTGCACTTTTTCGCGGTAGCTCAAAAAATTAGTTTATTTACAAAAATGGCACCGTCATTTTGGCCGAATTTGGCCAAAATCAAAATGTCCAAAAAGTGCAACGTAGACAACAAAAAGTCAAAAAATGCAAGCGAAACATGAAAAAGTGAAAACTTTTCACTTTGCACGGGAAGACCACTTTTCATTTGAACTCTTCCCTATATATGTGTGTGTGTGTGTGTGTGTCCCGAATTTTATATGAAAAGTTATTTTCGTACCATGATTATATATTTGTTCTTACAAATATAAATTTATTACAATAAGTACACAATTTAAAATGCACTAAGCTTCACTTGGATGTGGTTAACATTCTAAAATTTCTTCAGTGAAATAAATAATATTAATTCGGTACAATCTAATTTCAAATGCATCATCATAAGTGCTTTGTGCATTTTTAATTATATACTTAACAGTTAACACCGTAAAATTACATTTGTGAAAAAGAACATATTACATATGATCATGGTGTTAACATAACTTTTTATATAAATATTGAGGTATATATATATATATTGCATGCGCAAGTTTAGGGTAGTCATCTCACACTCCTTCAAAGTTTGAGATATTTAAATTATTTTTCCCTTGTTTAAGTTGAAATTACATAAACCGATCCAAGCAATCCAAAATCGTAAGCAAATAATATAAAAATGGCATTGAATAAACAACATAGAATTAATTTAACAGACAAAAGCTAGTCATTATTATTAAATCAATGCATGTTTTTCTTGTAGTTCAATGAATCAACTTTTGTATTTGTACAAAGTAATTTCAAATAATATTAAAACTAGTATTTCAAATCTTGTGATAATTGAGGACCTTTTCCCTAGTAGGTTAGCAGTAAGGCGTATTAAAAGATGTCACATGTAAATGATGATGTTGCTTGTTACAGTTGAAACATGTTCTTCCCCTAAGAGTCCACTGGCAATGCTTTACCAACTATTTTACAAACTAATTAAAGCATACATCACCAGGCACACAATTAGGCTACCAAAAAGTTACACACACGATAACATTATGAAAAAAAACAATGTGGGGATCTAAAAATGGCGTGATGAACTTTCAGGGAGAATAGGTTCACCAGTGAAGGGGTCAAATTTGTAAGGTTCCCCAGTGAAAGGGTCAAACCTGACTTGAGACCGGGTAGGTCGGCGATCAGCAGCATTTGTGTAGTAAGACTCTAATCCTACTGTTCTCCCATATGCCACCTGCCTATGAGCACTAGCTTCCTCAGCTCCATCCAATGTTGCTAAAACTCTCCCATATGTGGTAGAAGAAGGCGGTGACCCATGCAGGTTCAGAGGACTAGTAGTTTCATCTACACTGTAGATTGTTGGTCTGACCCTTCCATAACCTGCAGAAGTTGTTGATCTTATGTGCTGTATTGGAGGGAGGCTAGCTTCTTCAAGTCTTCTCAACAATGGTTGGTGAGAAAATGTTGGTGAGTAGTGATCCACATATAATCCCGACCTGCAATAAACAGAACCAAAAGTAGTTATATATAGTTCTCTTACTTCACAACTTTGCAATGGTCAATATACAGATAACACCACAATTGTATTCAGAGAGAATAGTCCCTATGACGTACAAATAAATGCTTACCTACTAGCAGGAGATGCTACACGTTGACCATACAAATCATCAGCTGGGGGACAACCTTGTTTGGAGTACCTCCAGGTTTCTGGTTCCTTCAAAGCTTCAACTCTTGAAACACTAGAAGGAATCCAGTTCTTTCCATCCATAGCATACTGTTGGAGGCAGAAAAAGATTTACTCGTTAGGCAAAGCTCAAATAAAAAGCTTGAAAAAAAATAAGCTTGTCATTCTACAAGATGTATCACACAAGCTACAGTGACAACGTCAAATCTGCAACCTTATGAGTAGAGGAAAATTACTTACTTTAGAAATTAATCCATCAAGATATGCTGCTTTGTTTTGCACATCTGATCCAGACAACATAAACTGTAAAGGAAAATGCACCGATATGGCAAGTTGGCAACATGGGATCAGCATCAGTAAAACTTCCTTTCCAAATTCTAAAAATAAAAAATACGGAGTATGTAACAACATCAAACCTGATCAAGAATAGATATGACTGTAGATTCAGGTAGATCCCTAAGACGGGTTAAACTTCGAACAGTTATCTGTCAAAACAGTCATATTCAAATGACGAAGATGTTAAATAACCAGAATGCCATAACCAGAAAGTGAAATTCAAATGATGAGCTGAGTCTTTCAAGCCTCTTTTAGCACAAATATTATTGTAGGTTACTGAAGGTATTTTCACCATTCAAAACAACTGTTTACAGTATAAACAATTGCTTATATCTTTGGATGAATTTTCCTACTGCAAAAAAGTCTACAAAATTTTCAAGATATTTCACATTTTAAGCATCTTCAGAAGTACCCATATATTCCTTTTCCGAAGGGCCTTCACTGAAACAGCCCTCAATTCCTAGTAGTAGTAAGGTCTATGTACATCAGTGTATGTTTGGTTTTGTACGATTTATTCTCAATATAATCAGTACATACTTTTTGGCCTAGTAAGGTGGTGGGTAGTGGCTACATCATAATCTACTCTTAACTATTTTTAAATGCAAAACCCAAAATTTGATTTTATGACTTAACCTTCTCTAGTTGTACTGCAAAACTAACACTATTGAGTTCAAGACATCAGTGCAACTTAGTAGACCAATCTCCAGATACCAAGCGATGTGTCGCCAGGCAAAATGCCGTTATGCAGCATCACACGCCATTCAGTCAATTTTTCGTGAGATCTACTTTTCAAAAGGTCCAATCACCTTACATGCTAATGTGATTATAACCAAAGGTGATTTTTCCCGTAAACATAGAGTTCTTATGTGATGCAAGAACGGCATGAATTGCCTCCCTATAGTTAGGATTAGTCACATCTAAATGTTTACGATACTCTACTTATCAGCTAATCCAGATTTATTTCACATGTGCTAATTAGAAAGTTTGACGAGTCTTAGTTTTAAGTTTTAACACTCCTGGAACAGGAAACCATAAAGGCCCAAATATGAAAAGAAAAACACACAAGAACTAACAAATATGAAAAGTAAAAAACACCAATGAAATTTCATCTTCCACTTACATCATATTTAGTAGCAATTCCAAGACGCATGATCCTCAGCAAACGTTCATTGACAACAGCAGGTAAGGCAACTATAGCAGCCTCATAAGAATCAGAAACTTCAACTCCCTCACCCTAATGAAACATAAATAAATAATAAAATTAAATTAAATAATTAAAATAATTTGACTTCAATATCTACATCAATGCGGCGAGACAGCAAAAGGTATATGAGCATTATCTACCTAACATATTGCAAAAATATTGCCCAAATGCAACACAACTATGACTGAATCCCATAAGATAAAAACTAAAGGATAGTCAGCTGACACGTCTGTTTATGCTGTCACTAGTGTGGGTGTGTAGTTGTTGAATCTGTATAAAATGAATTATTGAAATTGGGTTGGGGCATTAGCTAGATGATAAGTTACACAAGTCCCTAGGTACTACAGCTTAGGTTGAAACCTCACCACCCACTTCGCCCATCAAAGGTGTAAAAATAATACTCACTCCGTTCCGCTAAGATTGTCTCATCCTTTCTTTTCAGTCCGTCCCACTAAGATTGTTCCATACCAAATTTGGTAAAGTTTGTGTGGTTCTAAATCATTTTTTACTTTATTCTTACTTTATAAATTCAATATCAACCACATAAACTCACTTTTCTCAATATCTGTATCACCTCCTCATGTCCCAATGTTAGTGGGATGGATGTAGTACTAGTAATTATAATATTAAGACTAAATAAATTAATAATAATAACAGTAAGTCAGTAACACTTCCTCTAATGCAGAATATACATGAAATTTACTTTTGGCTAGGTTTTTAATAAATACATGTAAGAGGTGGTGTATTTTCATGCTTAATTTCTAAATTTTGAAATATGGTAAAGTTGAATTATGAAAATAAAAAGGTCGGTGTAACTTAAAGTGGGCATTATTTTGGAAAGGACTAAAACCAAAAAGTAGGACAAAAACAATGGGATAAAGGGAGTAACATTAATGTTGAAAATTCATTGTTTGGTGGATGGAAACTTGGTTACTTAGGTGGTTTAAAGTTATATTACCACTTCCAAATCGCCTGTTTACGCTACCGGCCACTTTGGTGGGTCAAAACTTAACTCACTCTGAAAGCACGAATACAAGAGAAACAGAATACAATTGGGAGTGGAAGAAAAGACTTGGGTGGGTCTTCACCAATTGAGCAATAGATTTGTGAGTCGTAAAGACATCAACTGCCTTAGGTCCTTCCTTCAAAGGCTTGGAGTTGTTCTGAACCTTAATGAAGCACTTGTTTTCAGACTCTTCACGAGAGCGCTTCCTGCTTTTGTCCATAGGCCTTGCAACTTCAACCTGTTAGAAAAAGAGTATTGTTCAATTATGAATGATCTCTGAAACAAAAAATGAAGTACAGCATCTCAATTACATGTATTGTACATTTACTACACAGCACAATACAACTAAGTGACTGTCACTTGTCTTGATGTGCTTAGGATTTGTAATGATCTATCTACTTCTGGATTTCTATCTTTAACACAAGTTGCTTTGAAACCCTTTGCAGTTTCATAGAAAGAGTCAGATCTAAAGACTGACATTACCTGAAGTTTAAATGGTTGGCCTCTATTTGGTCCTTGTACTGTTTTTTCATTTAATTCTTTGATGGCATTCTCAAGATCCTGTCATATGAAGAAAGTTGTTATGAAAAATTAATTAACTTAAGGATGGCAATTTCCATTCTTCAGGCACAGAAGTTAAACCCATTAAATTTCTAACATTTTTCTCACAATGGACCAAAAACATCCTCTAGATTAGGAGCACCATATGATTTGCTATTATATGATCATACAACTAGGCCTTGCCTTATTAAAAGTCCACTGACAAAAGAATTTAAGTCATTAGAGAATCGTTACTTTGTTAGAGGTGCTGATATTGCCATTGGGAACTGGTTTGTTAGCTTCTGGCACTTTAGTTTTAGATAAATGCATCCCACGAATATCGCATGAATTGCAAACCACACTTAGAGGTGATCATAAAAATGAACAAATGCAACCACACTTACAAGCCGGGTATCAAAGTGAACAAATCCCACCAAGGTATTACCCTTCCTGGACAGAACCACCCTCTCTACCTATAAGATGCATGATTAGGAATAAGTTAATTATTAAATATTAGATATACTAGTGGTTATAAATTGAACAGAGTATATAAAAAATATAGATTGTCAATTGATAAAAAGTAATGAAAATAAAAATAGTTTTTGGAATAGGGATAAGACCTTCCCAAACCGCTCGAAGAGTTCCCTCAAGTAATTCTCATCTGCTTCTAATGGAAGATTTCTAACAAAGGCTATTTTGATCTGGCAAACAAGCAAAGAGTGTGATTTGGTTGAAGGACTGTCTGCCCAAACATAAAAAAAAACTATCAATGAATAACCTTAGCAAGTTCTTTTTTATCAATTTCTGACTCGTCCTCAGCCCATTGAATAGCTGGATGCAAATTACCAAGAAGGAATTCTGTATTGGAACCAAATCGATACGCACGAGCTGCAGCCTGTGATTAATAATTTTGGAGGCAGGTTCAATTTTCTATAGAGAATTTATGTCTTGGATTTTACAAGCTATTTTTGTTATCTTAGTACAACAGTAATTCATGAATTATGTTCGGTATTGTAATGATGTAGAGGAAGTATTATATAATTAGCATTGGTTTTCAAGGCTAAATAGCCAACAAATGATGTTGTTGGAGGGAGAAAATGTTGCAACGTGAGGTTCAACCATTCAAGTGATTCAATACTGGCATATTAATTGAAAGAAATTGCTGAATATAATACTACAAAACTTTGACCATTCAAAAAAGGTATACTTACTTTGTTCTATTTTAATCATCATTTTACGTCACATATTAAGAAAGTGATAACTTTTTCTGAAGTTAATTTGACTACAAACACATACTAGTGTTTTAAAATGCTATTTAATACTCCCTCCGTCCCATTTTACTTAGCCAATCTTGACTTTTCAAGTCAATGAAATCTAACTTTGACCGATTATATGTTTATATAGAGAAAGTATTAATAATATGAAAATGATATGAAAATGTTCTTTGTTAAAAATATTATCATAAAAGTATAAAATTATTAAATTTTGCATAAATATATTAGTTTAAATAATTGGTCAAAGTTTACCATCTTTGACTGGAAAAGTCAAAGATGGCTAAGTAAATTGGGACGGAGGGAGTACTACGTAATTAATATCAATGGATAGAGAAGGGTAAAGTTGAAATATAAGCAACCAATGCTCTCTTGATATTCTAAAGTGACTTATATTTGAAAATAAACAATTTCTCTAATTCTCTCTAAAGGGAAACTTATAAAAGAAATGGGACTTCATAGTATCTATGTGACTATGTAATAGCTACGGCGAGGTCTGGATAAAAATTGCTTGACAAAATTACATAAAATTCATCCCAAATTGAAATAAAATGTTAAAGGGTCACTTTTAAGATGCATTATCAAAGTATTGTGAATTCTAATTGAACATGTGATGTTGAAACTTCAGGTTACTAAGTTTAAAAAACAGCCTTTCAGAGCAATATTCAATGAAAAGGGGGTCAAAATATGGTGTCTTGTTTTTAGTGTTCTTAAGTTATGGGATACTCCTTTCTCAATTACCAGGATTTAGCACTTGAGGAGTTGAGGATTTCATGTCTATTCTCTTGAGATATATATTGTATTTATATTTGTGTGTGTATTATATTTGGTTTTGATAATAATTGAGGCAACCATATTGAATCTGGAACCAAGAATCAGAGACGGGGACCAGAGAAATTATCCTGTAGGATATGAAACGCAACCGGTAAGTGGCAGTATTGCAGTTGGAACATTTATGCAGTCAAATACTTATTAACAAAGACCAGTAGAACTTTAAGGCAGAAAGGATAGGACGATTTACAGCATGGGATGAGAATTTAACAAAACCAAAGCCACGATTCCGTTGCTTTTGACCGGGCTGCAAATCCCCGTGTGTTACAAGATTGACAGACACAACATCTGGAAAGACCTGTTTGAATGAGCATTAACATAAGCTTTTATCATAAACTTAATCAATTATCTTTCTAACTATACCCAACTAACATTTGCACCTGGTGTATAAGGTTTTCAAATTCATCAGCACTCCAACCTAAAATACAGAATTCAAATCATGCATTAAGACAGCCAAGTAACTTTATTTACTGTTCAGGAGAGTATAATCAGAAGGAAAAAATTTAGGGTGAGAGAGGCAAAGGCATAAAAGTGACAGTAATGAAATTCCATGGCAATTTGGAATGTACAAGGTATTAATTTTAAAATGCTTCTATAATTGTGTGGGGTCCAGGTTCTCCAGTAGTCCAGATTAGAAATGATTATCAGACTTGGATGAGGACCAAATTAAGGCATTTAGGATTAAGATGGGTTGGTACTTGGTATTGGACCAACAACCCGTGGCTTTTCTGGATGATTAATGGCAGAAAAATGAATTGGAGTAGTGACTATAGACTCATGAGTAACAAGACAAGTGATTGACTTGAAGGGTTAATAATAGGATCAAGATGGCTTCAAAATAAAAAAGAGAAAAGGGTCAGATAGGGCCTCGAACTTACAAAAAAATGTCAAATAAGGCCTTATATAGGAGGTTCTGTCCGCCCGACGGCATTTGGGGCGGTTCCGGTGGAATTTTTCGATGACATTTTGTGAGCATCTTATTCATTAAGTCTAGTTTACTCATACCAAATTTCAGCTAAAACTTCAATCGGGAAGGCATTCAAATAAATTCTTGAAGATAACTGCGCTTTTAACTGCGCATTTATCTTCAAGAATTTATTTAAATGCCTTCCCGATTGACGTTTTAGCTGAAAATTGGTATGAGTAAACTAGACTTGATGAATAAGATGCTCAAAAAGTTTCATTGAAAAATTCCACCGGGAACCGCCCCAAATGGCGTCGGCCAGACAGAACCTTCTATATCAGGCCTTATTTGACATTTCGAGACCCTATCTGACCCTTTTCCCAAATAAAAAATTAGAAAAGCAATCTAGAGATGCTAATGCTGAGTCGGCAAATTAGAGCAAGACTTTACTGACAAATTATGGAAAGCCTTGGAATGCAAAGAAACTAAGACGCCAAATACAGGGTGAAATCCTTGTTGTACTGGTGTAAAACACCGACATTCCTAGAACAGTCTACACTTGTATTGCACACTCTAAACCTGTCTCAATGTTTTTTAGGGAGATACGTATCCTTTACGGGGTAAATGTACAAGAGGGTGATTACTAAAATTATGATGCCAAGAGGGTGATTAACCACACTTATGTTATGAAATTGAATATGTTCAAACAATGAAATTTGATTCTGTTAGATTTTAGCCATTGTGTGGCTTAGAATTTTGGATACTTAATGGTAAATTTGTCATTCTTTGTACCTTTACAGCTATAAGACTATTCATGATATAATTCTTTAGTTTATTTTTTTGTTGATTAGTATGGTTACTGTCTTGCGTATATTGCCTATTCATAAGAATTAACATGACTTAAATAAAATTCCGGCACTTAAACAGTATGCCAATTGCTTTAATATTCACAACCTTTGTAGTAGTACAAGTTAGATGTCTAGGGCAGTGACAAATAATCGTCATCGAAGGTAGACATTAACATATCTATATGATTTAGTCATCATAGTACCGCCATGTGTGGCTCAGTAGGTGGTTTGAGGGTGGGTGGAGTCATTTAGTTCCTAATCCAAATGGGATAGTAATCTTAGGATTGCTAACCCTGTCCCGGAGGCCCAGATAAATATAATCCCCTTAGCTCTGGGATTGCTAAAACAACTAGAGAAATCTCATGCCTAAAGTTGTGTATCGATATTTCCACTTCAATGCCTTGAACGGAATAACTCATGAAGCTATCAGACGAACAAAAATGAGAAAGAAAAGAGGACACAAAACAGTCAAACACTAATCCAAAATAATGCAAAATAGGACTAAAATATGCAAAACTAACACATTCTGAAAATACACAATGAACTGATGCCAAAATTTTTAAATAAAAACCTTACGCTTCAAAAGTCATGAAATAAGCAATGGAATACATCGTTCAGGAACAAATATGAACTTGATAATACAAAACGAACCTTTGTTAAGATTTCCAAAAAATAGTGTATCCTGCTCTACTGAAGGGAGAACACCAATCTTCTTTCCATCTATCTGAAACATTAACAGATCAATATGATTCTGAAGTAATCGCTATTCATATTCTTATCACATGTACCAGCAGTCACTTTATGACATAACAAAATGTCTTCCAGGCTATAGTTTGTAATCAGAGTAACATCATAACTGCACTGAGCATTGGCAGCTTTAGCAATCACGTCCGCGCTCTATGCATGAGCACCCAAATTGGACAGGGTATAAAAAGAAAAATAGTGATACATCGTAGTATTGGAGATGATGCATTCAGTATATAGTATCAGTGTATCACACAATGCATGCTAGATCAACATTGAAGAAATTAATGTCTTAAATATTGATATACAGAAAAGTAGAATTGAATAAAAAAGCCAAAATAATACATTGATTAAGAAATGGAAATGTGCCATTTTCTTATTAGTTTTCTAGTAAATACTTGAAGAAGGAAACGAAAGATGGCACTATTTTCAATGACATGTCACTATTCGCCAACCCTCATGTGAAATTTTCATCGATTTCAGGTAACTTTAATTTTCCTTTACTTATTTTGTGAAGAATGACTGATGTGGAACTATGGCTCGCTACTCATACCGTACAAACTAAGTGAATCAACATGTGTGTTATCTTCTCATCAAATTCAATAAAGAAGATAGAGAAGACAGCATGGAAGAAGAAGAAGACGAAAAAGGTAATGGAGTCAAAAGTGTATTCGAGTCAAGGTAAAGTAGATATTAGTAGAGCTTTGGAAAGTCGGGGTCAAGTAAAGTAAGGTAAAGTAAGGTAGGATAAGGCAAGGTTCATGCTTAAGTGAATTTCAAGTTTCAAGTGGAGTCTATTTTAAGTTTAAGATTTCAAAGTTCCATAAATGAAAAGTTCAAGTTGAAATTCAAAAGTTCAGCTCCAAATTTCTAGTTTGAAGTTCAGTTTATGTTTGCCATTTTTATTATCATGATTTGCGTTGAGAGTTTTGTAGCAAGCTTCTAGCATATAATGCTCCAAGCTTGAAAGGAAGTGTTAAAACAGAAATAATAGGTTAAATCATGGTTATAGAAACCATAGAATTTTAGATACCCTAGTGTCTAGTCTCTTATACTTGGGAACTGTTATCTTCCTGTATGAACAGTGTATTAGCCTTCAGAAAATATGAAGTTGCGACTCAAAATATCATATCAATAAAAGTAGTAGATTGTTAGTTAAAATGAAATACCTCATACCCAGATCTTTCCTTTACAGCTTTTTCTGCAGCCTCCTTTGTAGCAAACCGTAAAAACCCAAAACCCTGCCAAAAATATACAAAAAAACAAATGTAAAGATGTGAGACGATAATATTGAACTTGTTCTTTATCTCAACTTCACCCCTACAGTCCTATGTCCTAATTCTTAGCTGCATGGATTTGTGCAATAGAAAGAAAAAGCAATAATTGCAAATATATGATAATACTCCCTCTGTCCCGAATAACTTTGCCAAGTTTGACCGGCACGGGGAATAATAAAGTAAAAACTGTGTGGTTAAGGTTTGTCCAGATGAGAGAGAATGAACTGGAACCACAAATTCTTTACTTAAAAGGGAAAGTGGCAAAGTTAGTGGGACATCCATAAAAGGAAAGTTGGCAAAGTTATAAGAGACGGAGGAAGTAATATACTAACCTTCAAGTTGCCACTCTTGTCCTGTACTAGCCGTATTTCAACAATTTTGCCACAAACAAAGAATGCCTGAAAAGAAAAGGCACGTTTTGTTGTACTTATATGTTTATGATAACAATTGCTAGAACATACAACTATATAAGGTGAGTGTCTCAGCTCAAAATATCTGCTTGCTTATGACTACAGCTACAACAACAACATCAACCACAACATTACCCTAGTGCTGCAAAGGCTCCCACCTACGGTGGGGTTGCTTATGACTACAACTATCTTCCAAAAATAATCTAATTGTGCCATATACTATATACTCCTTATATAATAATTCTAGTATAAGTTGCCTCTTAATCTTTCTAAAGAAGCGACACAGAAATGATAGATTTAAAATAAATTAACTAACCAACCACTTATGGGCAATTAAAATAATACACCCACAAAGAGATAAGACCAAATTATAGTAATACCAACTAGAGTTAAGTTGCAAACTATAAGTCTTAAAGAGTAACAAACCTCTCTGATCTTTTCTTCAGTAACAGTACGGGCCAAACCACCAATGAAAACTTCCGAACCTTTAACATGATTCTCTGACATCAGAGATAAGCCATGAAGATGTGATCAGAAACAGGCTTTGATATGTATAATAATAATAATAATAATAATAATAATAATAACAACAACATAGGCCTATTCTAGTTTGGGTCACCCAGTCACCCAAGTTAGGGACAACTAGACAAGGTTATTTGTAGGTTACTACCAGTCTCCAAAGAGACTTATACTAAAGTTGACTGATTACATACCAAGGAGGGCTGCCGGTGCTGGGAAATAAAAGTGGATGTGCATATAAACTTAACTACTCGTACATTAGTAACAAATATTACTCCTCTCTCTTCAGGTTATGCTACAAGTACTAAAGCTGTTATAAAAACGCTTGCAATGCCTACACTTGGCAAGATAGTTTTTCTCATCATATCACCACACCATTTCATCAATGTTAATTACAAAGGCCACACATAATATATGTATATGTTTTGTAACACCTTTTGTACGTATGGCACAATTCTCTTCTCATTATAATAGTTATGAGAAACCTAGAGGCTCGACCTGGAAAATTATAAAATTCGGGTGCCCTATTATCATATCCTTAAAACATACAGTCGTCTAAGAGTGCTTTGGACAATAAATTTTTCAAAAACATACGAAAAGAAAAACATACTATGATCGGTTTGAAGATGCTCAGTAGACTGACTCATCTGCAACAGAAATAGAGAGCAATTAAATCAGTTACCAACGAAGAGCATATTGGTTTTAATAAAATACAAAAAAAAATCTCCAGGACAATTCCAATACTGACATTTTCACGAACTTCATGATCATTAATTTGTATTAGAGCATATAATTATAACTTATACTTCAAGGACCTTTTCCATTTGAGTTCTTTCCTTTTTCCTAGTCCAACATTATTTTCTTTTCCCGAAAAGGAAGGATTTTTTCTTATTACTTGTATTTCCTCTAAACAAATCTTTAACCACGCAATTTTAAATTTCATTTAAATCAAAAGAGGGGCAGAAAAGAACGGGGAGTAAAGATTTTTTGTCGGCGCCGGAAATACACATAAGGAGGTGAATTACCGATTCGGGTGAGGAATTGGAGCTTCTAATGCAGTGGGTCAGTGCGCGAGATTTGACGTGACCCTAGAGATCCAGCAAAATACCAGTACAATACTGTCCGAGGTTGGATGCGCCGACGTTATTTCCTCTTGATTCCGGTTAAGGGGCGTGCTTTTGCAAGGGAGAAAGCTGGGCAAAACAGCAACCTGACCGATTAGTACTACGTATATGTTTTACCTGTGGTCCGTCGAGGATCCAAAAAATCAAAGTCACCTGGTCCCTCCTGTGTTACTCTAATTAATAAAAAAATTAATAAAAATGAAGTAAAATATTACCAAAATTACCCAAAATAGGAGTAAATGAGATTTGGAATTCCAAAATATGATAACTGTGTTTTTTCTTCCAGAATTTAAAAGTTGTTACAGCCATGTATGAAAAATATTGTCATAATTGACAAATATTGTCATTAATTATACGGAGTAATTAATATTGTCATGTTAAATGCATTGTACTGCAACTATTTGGCAGTCACGTCTACAAGATGATAGTAAATACTGTCATATTAATTCTATTTCGGAAATAAAAATATAGTAGTCCTATTTTGGAATTCCAAACTCCGTTTACTCCTATTTTGGGAAATCTCCCAAAATATTATAGTCTCATAACATTTCATAGTCAAAGTTCATCATCAAAATATTAAAGTACCATAATGTTTCATAGTCCCAAGGTTCAAACGGCCCCTTTAAGGCAACTATAACGCGTCTCGTCTTGAACATTAGGATGAATGAAAGTCAGCATTTTTTCTCAATCCAGGATCATCTTCCAAAGATTCAAATTCAACAATGTAGATTATCGGTCAAATTAATTTCACATTCAATAATTATTTGATCTAATTCTTCATTTAATAATGTCGAATCATTTGAATTAAAGTCTGAACTACTCCCGGTGCTCCGGATTTCTTTAAATCTGGGCACACTATCAACATATCTTTTCATCCCAAATAGTTTAAGCAAAAAGATCTTGGGAAAAGTACGGAAAAAGTACTTATGGTTGAGCGCGTTTTCAGATAGGGTCATGTGTTTCATTCTTATTAAAGTGGTTCATGTGTTTGAATTCCGTTATCACAAGAGGGTCACGCCGTTAAAAACGCCTGAAAAAGTAACTCCGATTTTCAAAAGTGCTGGAAAAATTAAAAGAAAAATACCGGAAGGTGCGCCTCAATAGGACGACCGCTAGGCCATCTTTCTTTTTGGTTCTCAGCCACCCTTGTCACTGGAAAGTCCATCAGAAAAGTGATATTAGCGAAATCATTTTTAAAAAATAATTCAAACAGATCTGAAAAATCCAAAGGCAAAGGTGGTTTGGAGGTCATCTTGACGAGGCGCACCTTTCGGTATTTTTCTTTTAATTTTTCGGTCACTTTTGAAAATCGGAGTTACTTTTAACGGTCTTTTTCAGACGTTTTTAACGGCGTGACCCTCTTGTGATAACGGAATTTAAACACATGAACATCTTTGATAAAGAATGAAACACATGACCCTATTTGAAAACGGACTTAAGCACAAATACCTTTTCCGTACTTTAATCACGAGTACAAAACAAAGTGAGTATGATTTAAGTATATTCACATCGGTTGGATTGGCTAACATAAGTTATGACTCCCAAGGCCCCTATTTCCGCAATCTTACCATGTGCAAGTTGTTTATAAATCTAACTCGTGGTTATTTTTTATGCCAAATACCCGTCTAAAAAGAGCTAAATAGAACAACATCAATCGATTTATAAAGGTTGGGCTATTCTTATACAACTCCAATTCAAAATTTTGGGACCCTTATTTTTTTGGAATTTAAGTATTTATGACATATTCCTTTTCAATAAGTTTTTCATTTAATAAAATATAATCGGTTTGATTTTTCCCACATTTCCCTTTTTTATGTTTTCTTCATTTTCTTTTACTTTTTTTTTACGATTTAACTAAGTAGTTGATAGTGTTTGGCAAAAGAGATTGATCGGGTTGAATTCATTGACTATGATCCCTAAGGGATAAAAGATTCGTATTATATTATACTAACTTTCAAGCCCGTGCGATCAGGGGCGGATGTATGCTAGGCCAGGGGTGGGCTTCAGCCCAGTCCAATTTTTTTTAATAGTATTGGTACATTTTCAAATCCCAGCCCAGCCTAAATTATTTGTCAGTCCACCCCACAAATAATTTGTGAATCAGTGAAGTTATGAACTTCTGCCGTGAATTTGTAAACTGTGATTAACCGATTGTGTATTAAACTTTTAATGTATTAATTATTATTATTTTTAGCATTTTAGAGTTTTAGGGCTAGGGAATCATACAATCGTTTTGATTATTAATTGAATTTTTCAGTACATAATTAAATAGTTTTATTTTTTATATATAAGTATGTTAATATATACCAATATTGAAAATGTTTTTTAGAATGGATAATGAACATGTTGCCAAGAAGGGAAAGAAGTTGATTTCATCATTATTTTCGAAAGTGAATCGTCAAACTGGTGAAGGGAGTTCTGAACCTATACCTACAACAGTGCAAGATCTAGTCAATGAGGATCCTCCACATGTTGTAGTCCCTGAAATCCAAACTATCTCAAATTTGGATTTCAATGCTCGATAGACATGCTCGAATGTAGAAGTTTAGACTATTCTCGTTAATAGATTCATGTTCAAATTATTCAATAAGTATTCAAATTTTTATTAATCATTAATAAATTTATAAAAATTGCACTAAAACGTAACGTTTAAATTTTATGATGTGTACAATAGTATAATTTATATGTGAACGATAGGCTCGTGTTCGGATCGAAACATCACTATGTTCGATCTCGGCTTGAATAATTATTCAAACTCAAAACCTACTCCGTGTTCGAGTTCGAAACTTGTTAAACTCAATTCATTAAATTAGATTCGAAATCAAGCTCGAACTCGAGTATATAATTCAAAAAAATCTTTGTTCGATAACAACCTTGGGCTAAATTTGGTATGTATAGTAAAAAAAATTACTTCTACTTAGCCCACCCCATCTCTCGATCCTGGATCCGCCCCTGCGTGCGATGCACGGGCAGTATGTAATTTAGCTAATTTGAAATTTAATTTCTATCGGATCACATATAATGTGATTTAAAAGAAAAATAAACTTAGTCTAATATAGAGTCTGTTTGATAACACTAAAGTAAATAGAATTAATTTATTTTGCTGCAATTGATTGAATTCTGGTTAAATAGGTGGAATCTTCTGAAACATGAAAAATATATGTGAAATATATTCCATTTGTGAAACGAAGAAAAAAATATATGAAAAAAAGTTAAATTGGTCTTCTACATAAGCATCTCAAGTAAACATAATTGTTATGAACCCAATAATAATAAAATTCTATATTTCTTAATTGTTAGATCTTACAGTTTACTCATTAATAAGAATGTTTTTAATTGAATTAAAATTTCGGGTTTGATTTGGTATGAATTAATATGGTCTATTAAATGTCTGTTTTTTATGTGACTTATTGTTATAATTATTAAAGTTTGATCTGATCTGATTTAATCTGGAACTGAAATCAATCCAATTTAAAACATTCTATTAAAGTAAAAGTAGCAATTCGTAAACCTATAAAGATTTTCTAATTTGGATTAGGAATCTATGTCAAAAGTGAAGGCATATTTGAATTTTAGGTGTAAAATAAAGAAACAACCAAAAAAATTTACTTATTTGGCTAAGCTAAACATATTTACTTGTGAAAATATATATACTTTGTGTTGGTTATAATTTTTAATTTCATTTTTAATTATTTACTTATTTGAAGCTTACTAATTTATTAATAGGTGTCAAATTAATAAGTAAACTAATTTGCATATTTATTTCTATTTAATTCGGTGTAGTAAACTAATATAAATTAGTTTCCATATCAATAAACGTTATTAGAATTTCACTTTGATAACCAAAAATTATTTTACTTATTTGAAGCTTACCAAATTAATTAAGGTGGATTTATAAGGATTTTTGTTTCAATATCAATATGCAATCAAAAATAGAATCTAATAAAAACAAAAGGTATAAAAATAAGTAAATAATTGTTATATATAATGACATGGTATGATTATGTGGCGCTTTGTATGCTCTTAAAAAGTTCCTCTCATATATATATATATATATATATATATATATATATATATATATATATATATATATATATATATATATATATATATATATATATATATATATATATATATATATATATATATATATATATATATTGATTATCATAAATTGGGGTAAAGTGTAGCACATTTTACCGAATAAGACCACCATTTTTCAGAATAGGAGTCATTCACTTGAGTGTTTGAATTATTTTTATTCTTTTATTGTAACTAAACAAGGCATATTTGGGAATAAAATATAATTAGTTCATGTTTTACTACTTACGAGTTACTACTATTTTGATGAACTTCTTTTCAAATTAAATTTTCTTGAGCAAAACTCAATTCGACATAAAGAAAAATTATGACAAGTGTGGAAGGAATGAACGAAGATTAGCAAACTATAGATTGTTGCGATCATGTATAACCCAAGAAGCAAAATAAGTTTTGTAACTATTCATTTGTGAGAAAAAATAATGTGAAGTGTTATGAATCGAAACAAGTAATATAAGTATTCATGTAGGCTTTAGTCTTCTACTTCCAATATCAAGTGGTGTATCTGAGAACGGCTTTAGCACAGAATGTATCTTAAAGTGTTCACAAATGACTAGTTCCATTCATTACCTTAATGTATTTCAAGTTTAAATCCTCATCAAGTGTTGTAGGATAGGGAATTATGGAATCAATTGTTGAAGGGAATTACTAAGTATATATCTGGTATGGTTGATGGATAGTCTACCCGGGGTATATATCCGAAGGGTTATTGCGGTGAATAACTTAGAGAGAAGTCAGAGCAAGCAAATGTAGAGAGAGAGAGTGTATTATAAATGTGGAGCGTTTTCAGCGTGGTTACAAATGGGGAAATGGGGTGCTATTTATAGTAGCAATAAATGCCGGGCAGGGACACGTGTCAAGCGCCTATTCGCCGAGGGGTCACCTCAACTGGTTGGCGTTGGCAGCCGCATGTGGCCGCATTTAATGCGGCTGTTGGATGGGACGTCTGTACAGGGTACGGTGATCTGTACGCATGTGAGGCGGATATCATGTCGGGAGAGGTGCCCTCGGCTGCAGAGGACTAGCCGAGGGCTCTTAGTGCCGAGGACCCCTGAGTGCCGAGGGCTCC